TTTACACAGTCACGTCCTGGGGACCAGTGACCGTCTGGGGACAAAAAAGCAGGTCCCCATAAGAATAACATACAAAAAGCATCAGGGGGGCTGCCCTGAATATGCCTGTGAAGTTTTTAGCAAAGGCCCACAAGTCACCATTTTTGCTGATTGTTTGTGTGTGAATGGTGCTCAGCAGCCCCCCACATGGTTATTCGGTGCTATTGCACTCACTGCTCCACACACACACTTTGCATATGCCCCGCCCATTTGGTCCCCTAATGGAAGGATTTTTACAAGTGGGAGGGGGTCAGCATTCAATTAGTGATCATCAGAAGAAGCCTGCAAAGCTAGAAGATGGCAGAACAAGAAGCAAAAGTAAAACGCCAAACAAAATGTATTTGAGGCCATTAAAAAATACAATCTTTGAGAACTTCCGTGGGAGCCTTCCAAAACGCACTTTTCATTTTTGTACACAAACAACTAGATTTTTAAAATTATCAATAATATTAAGTAAGTCAGTAAGCCACATCAAAATTATTCTAAAAGTATGCAAAACGCTGCGACTTTGGGAGGCGGTTGACTGCTTGCAAATAATTTTCACAGTGGACAATTGTTTTGTTTTTCTACCTCCAAGTTGAGAGGATTATTTGAAAGAAAAAAAAACAACAACAATCCACTGTGTCCCCTGTGACATTATAATCAATAGTTTTTTTTTCATTCATTAAAATGATTGGAGCTTTCCACTTGGTGTTTTGGTAAGTAGCAGAGAGAAAACCTTGACATTTTTAGGGTGGGCGGAGGGAGAAAAAGAATATTATAAAAAGGGGAAGGAAAGAAGGAAGCTGTGAAAGAACAACAGGTCACAGTGTCTTTGGCCTCTCGTGTTTCTGCCTGTCATACTGCTGGAAGCGTGTCTGTGTTCTTGTATGTCACACTCAACGGTCAGCTGTTAAAATGTCTCACGCGCATTCAAACACAGGTGTTGTAAAGCAAACTTGGAAGAAGAGAGAAATGCTGATATTTCCTAGTAAACTTTAACACAGCCTCGTTTCCCCCTCTTTAGTAAATATGCACAAACACCCACAGACAGAGTAAACAGTGTTCTGGTTGGACCAAGACAGGAGATGGGCACTCAACGATGCACTGCACATTTTGGTCTTGTCTTAAGATAGTTTCATTTCTTGTATCCACACCATAAAATGACAATCAAGACTTTCTATTTTTCTCTATTCAAGTCATCAAAATGTTGTAAAGCTCCCATCCAAATTTGTAAGACTTCAGCATGAAACATTGGAATTCCTCTTTCGGCTGTACAGAACATTTCATTCACCTCTGATCATCCAACGCAAGCATGATTCATTTGGCTGCCATGGGTATGGGGGCGAAAGGGGCAGCTTTATTGGGAAACCAAATGTAGGGGAGAGGTAACACTGGTCACACACACACACACACACACACACACACACACACACACGCATTCACACATACTCACCCGAATTGGCTTGAGAAAGTCCAAGTTGGACAGGAAATGGCTCTGGGCCTTGTCCAGCCAGTCCCTGGAGGACTTACAGATGATTTCTTGCGTCAGACGGGAAACATCGCGATCGGCTATTTGCACAAACTCCTCCAGAGGCGTTGTGTTGCACAGGTCTCGGAGATGAAATCCAAATCCTTTTGTCAGAACCTGGACACGGAAAGGAGAAATGACACAAGATGGATTATTTTCTGTAATGTATTTATTTATTTAAATTTCCCATGATTAATTAACAAATTCACTGTATCTAACTAAGGGTGTTAACAACACTTGCCAGTGCATTTTTAAAAAAAATTACAGAGATGTGGTTACATATCAACATGGATTCGCACTAGGATTGTCTAAACTGCCCAAAACACCGAATGATTAGCACACAGCAAACAGGGAGATGGCAAAACTTGATGATAAAGTCTACTACTTTGTATATAATTTAAAGAGGCTCCAGTCCAACAGATTTACTACCATCTTCGAGGACGAAGAAGCAGCTACCCACTTTTGTGTATATTTTTATTTGTTGTGCCTTATGCATTTCGATACATCTCAAACATAGACTTGTCCTCTGGGTGTTATTGACCAGCTTGTGTGACCCCATCAATGTTCAGTAGGTACTGTAAACACCAATATGAACTACTGAAGGCTAAAGCTGGTGACGAGTCATCCGGAATCACACAACTGTTTGGGGTATGATCAGGATTTTATATGAACTGTTGATCGAGAATAAAACCTCTCCTTGGGTATCGAACAATGACCTTGTCAGGTTACTGGAGGCTCGTGCTCACTGATCAATAGGCATCTGGGTAAAGGCGGTGGGTGGAGCGGAGTCACATCGCAGCACTGTGTCTGCACGTGAGGAGTGTTGGGGGAAGGGTGGGAGAAAGAGGAGCAGTCACATGACTCTTGCCCTCCTCTGTGATGTGATTTTCAGCAGCTGCTGCTGCTTGGTGCATTTGTGCATTGCCACATGAATTCACGTGAGCTGTGCGTGTGTGTGTGTGTGTGTGTGTGTGTGTGTGTGTGTGTGTGTGTGTGTGTGTGTGTGTGTGTGTGTCTTTATGGTGGGGGGGTGTGT